GTGAACTGAAGGAGCTTCTGCATGCCTCGCAGAATCCCCGTGACCAGGTACGCACAACCTCGTCCTTGTCTGAGAGTATGCACTCATTATGGCAATCCAGACTAGTGGTTGGTTGCATTTCTTCCTCATCACGCCGACGTGCTCATCGTACATCTATGTCTCAGCTATACCGGGTTTGCATCCCACGTTCTCGGCGATGTACAACGACAGCAGCAGCGGCCGATCCGAGTGCGAGCCAGAGACAAGGAAGGAGGCTCTGGCAACCATCTTCACATGGATCCTCGGATCGGGCCACCCTGATCTCTCCGCATTTCCTCCACCAGTTCTCGATGTCGACCACCACCGCCTGATCATGTGGCTCTATGCGCTCGCGGGGGCAGGCAAGAGCACGCTTGCACAGACGACTGCGGAGTGGTGTGCCCTACGACGGATTCTGGCGGCTAGCTTCTTCTGTGCGCGTGACGGCGACCGGAGCAACGTCCTCGCCATCATGCCCACCATTGCACACCAACTCGCGCGACTTTGCGATGTATTCCGGGAGGCGCTCCGGAAAGCAGTAGCGGACAACCCAAACGTCCACCAGATGTCGGTCGCCTCGCAGCTGCAGACGCTGATTGTCAGGCCGCTGCACGAGGCAGTGGAGGGCGGATCACAGGCATTCGAAAACTCTGTGGTGATTGTAGATGCTCTGGACGAGTGCATGGACGTCGAGGCGGTGTCTGTCGTTGTCAAGTCGTTGTCGCTACATCACGAGCATGTCGCCCCTTTGAAGTTCCTCATTACCAGCCGACCTGAGCCGAATATCAAGGCGGGCTTTATCCTACCTACTCTCGCCGCGAACACCCAGGTGTTCCCTCTCAGCATGATCCCCGATGATCGCACCAAACACGACATCTCGCTCTTTATCCGGAGACGTCTCCAGGAGATTGCTAGTCGCGACTACCTCGGTTCAGGATGGCCATCCGAGGCTCAACTGCAGGATCTCGTCTGTCTGACGGAGCTCCTGTTCATCTTTGCTGCGACGGCAGTGCGCTTCATCGGAGACCTCGAGGCCATGGACCCTGAAGGTCGACTGTTGGAGCTTCTTAGAGCTGGTAGTGAGGCGGCGGCAATAGGCAACAGCAAGACGTCTCCCTTCCGGATTCTGGATGCACTGTACCTTCAGGTGTTGACCAGTGTGAGAAAACTTCTGGGAGAAGCAGCACTTGCTCAGCTCAGGGTCATCCTTGGCGCTGTCGTCCTTGCAAAGGAGCGGCTCGGGCCAGCGGCGCTGGAGGCATTGCTGAATCTGAGCCGTGGGGCTGCAAGGCGGTTTCTGTCTCGCTTGAATGCCATCCTGATCCTACCTGGTCCTGGGGATGAATCGTCGCCTATCCGCCTCATCCATTTGTCCTTCATCAACTTCATCGTCGACTCGACTCGTTGTACCGAGCCCGCCTTCCTCATCAATCCTGCGCTTCACCACGCATTGCTTGCTAAGGGCTGCTTTCGCATCTTGCACACGCTACGACACAATATCTGCGATGTTGACCCGAAGCACGGCCATCTGCTCAATAGCGAGATTCCCAACTTGCAGGAGATGGTCGCACGGCACCTGACTCCAGAGCGTCAGTACGCGGTCAAGTACTGGGCCCACCATCTTCGTTACGCCGCGGTTGACGAGGAGCTGTTGAGCGTACTGCAAGCGTTCTGCGACAGCCACCTCCTGGATTGGATCGAGGCCTTGAGCTTGCTGGGCTGTGTGGATGTGGCTGTTGCGGCTCTGCAGTCCGCGCAGCAAAAGCTCAAGGTCGGTACATGTACATTCATAATGGCCCTGTGCCGTCATCTGACTATGAGTAACAATTGCAGAACTTGGATTTGTTGGTCTCAATCACAGATGCCCCTGAGCTGCTGTACGACTGCGAGCGCATTGTCCGCGCATTCTACGAAGGCATCAGCATGTCATTCTTCGAGGTGCTCAGGGCGACAGCCACATTTGCTCCGCTCAGCTCGCCCCTTCGACAAGGACATGCAGTAAACCTCCCGGGAATGGTTCTACTGCGCCGCGGTCGGGAGACTGCCTGGAGCGCCATTCTCACGTCCTCAGCCAGCGAGAGCCGGGTCGGGTGTCTTGACTTTTCTCCTGATGGTAACGTCATCGCATGCGGGACTCAGGGCGGGACCATCCAGCTACGGAACGTGCAAACGGGGGCGGAGACACACGTCATGGCGGGTGTAAGCTGGATCATCAGTGTTTGTTTTTCACCTGATGGTCAGGCAATTCTGTCAGGCCACGTGAATGGGTCTGTCACCCTCTGGGACGTCGCCACGGGTGCGTGTTTGGGCATCTGGAGGAGACACTACGAATCGATCCGCTCAGTCGCGTGGTCGCCCGATGGAACACTTGCGGCTTCTGCCTCCGATGACGGGAAGATCGTCCTGTGGAGCATCGCCTCCCCTGAGGAGTCAACCACGCTTTCTGGTCACAACCGCTGTGTCAACAGTGTTGTCTTTGCCTCTGACGCGACACTCGTCTCTGGGTCAGACGACAAGACTTGCAAGGTCTGGAATACACGTACCAATTCCCTGCTCAGGACCCTGGAACACGACTCGGAAGTCCGCTTCGTGGCCGTTTCTCCCAACAGCCAGATCGTCGCGTGTGGCCAGTGGAATGGCGAGATCACTCTCTGGAGCAAAGTCAATGGGGCCAAGCTTCACATACTCCCAGGATCATTGAGGGTAATTTCGCTAGCTTTCCACACCGATGATGCCCTTGCTGCAGCGTACTTCAACTCTTCGCCCACCTTGTGGGACGTTCGTACAAAGGAGGTACTGCCAGTGAGCAATTTGCTTACCAACTTTGCAACAGTCGACGCTGTTGCGTTCTCGCCAGACGGCGTTCACATCGGGGTCTCTACAGACGTAGCAATGCACATCATTCGATGGCCAACGGATGCTTCCGCAATGTTGCAACTGAGCGTGGAAAACACTGGGCTTTCTACAAAGGACAGCCGCGCTACCGCGACCCCCGCAGCCAGGGGTCACGGCCACCCGGAATTGCTCGGGCTCTCCGTCTCCCCAGATGGGCGTTTCATTGTTGCTGTGCTCAAAGACGAGCTTTTCTTATCAGAGGTCTCGACAGGCGACGTCGTGCATACACTCAAGTACAGAAGCGGGAATGTTAGCTCACCCATTGTGTGGTCCTCTGGTGCCATCTTCGTAGCGTGGGGCGATGAGAAGGATGTATGTGTCTGGGAGACGAAGCCAGGAGGACGCATCAAAAGGCTCACCGGTCACTCGCATTGGGTACGTGCTGTCCATTTTACGCGCGACGACCAGCATGTCCTGTTTGCCTCGTGGGATGACACGATCCGTCGCTGGAACGTCCACGATGAACATCCCTCCCCCACCATCGTCTTCGGATGCGACGGGAATATCCATGAATTGGCTGTGTCCTCTGACGGCAAGTGGATGCTCTCTGGTTCGCTTGACAGGTCTCCCCCGGACACCTCACGTACCGACCTTCTCGCAAAGCCTTCCAGGAAACCATTTAAAGACGACGGTTGCTATCCGACTCTACGCCTGCACGATGCTTCTGGATACGTCCTTTGGATCGAGCACGTCACCAGCCGAATTGTCTCTCTAGCGTTCTCCAACGATTGCACACACGCAATGGCAGGTCTGCGTAATAGCCGGGTCCTGCTCTACGACCTTACTCAGCTTCTCCCTCACAGAACGAGAAGTTCTGATGTGTTCTCTCCTCTCTCTCATCCTGGTTCGGCACTTATTCATGTCCCCAAGTATAAGTTCAGCATCGGAAGCTGGCAAGACGTCGAGCAGATATCCTTCTCTCCTGACGGCCAGGGGGTCGTCACCCGAGAGAGCTACACTATTCTGCCAGCTAAACTTCGCCCTCGGTATATGGACCTTTCCTTACCTCCTGCCTACTTTTACAAGGACGGATGGCTCTGGTCTTCTGTTCCTGACATTGGTGGTCAACGCCTTTGCTGGATACCGCCTGCCTTCAGGCATGATGATGGGTACTCCGATTACTCATGGTCCGTCCATGGGCACATCATCGCGTGCGATACACGAGACAAGAGTGTGGTGATACTAGATGCATCCTATCGCCAACGGTGAGACTCTCTGATTCCTTGCAGTTGTTACAGCTTGGTAATGTGTGTTCACCTCCACAGACCATGTGCTGCATAGCCAGGCGTCAAAGGGAGAGAAGCCTATCGCCCAGTCGCATTCAAGTATAGAACCCTCGCAATCATGGCTGTACGTCATCTACCTCCGCATCGTTGAGGGTACCCACTAACATAGAAATACAATTGCATAGCGCGACTACTGTAATCCAATGCTTTAGGTCTATCACGCACATGGCCAGTGAACGCCTCTGTGTATAGCACACCGCTCTTCTTCCGACCCCTCGACCTCATTGCTGCGGATTCTCAGATCACCCCAGTTACGCATCGGAATGTCTACCCTTTTGGATCTCTGTTGTCACTGTACAGCCTCGACGATTCGATACTACGGCTCCCACTACTCCACGCTTCGGGGTCATCGCTACAGAATGCTTAGCGCTTCTCTGAACATTCGTAATCGGTCCATCTCATGCCACCTGCGACGTCCTGCGACTCCCAATCATAGTCATTTCCAACGACTCTACCCCACTGACTGTTTGAGCATGTCTTTCATCTTTTCCGTACCCTCTGCGACTCCGTGCGCAATGGCGGAGACGCTGCGCGCCGTTGAGTTCAGCCTCACGGTCGCAACGCGGTCGGTGGGCAAGAAAGTGTTCAGACACACCTCTAAGTACCTATGTGAGTGATAGAGATCTGTGCGTCAGTCGCTGAAAAGTGTCTTGAATGTCGAGTGGGGCAGTGGGAGCCTCGCGGCTGTAAACCACGTCCGGGCGTGTACTACGTAGCTTGACTTGTTCCAGCCTGTTTATCGATGAACTTGAAGTCAATTGGACTTCACCGGCAGCCCCCATCACAAAAAGGTTATTCAGATTCCCATTAGCCGACTCGAACGACTGACCTCGTCATAGCCAATCGGGTGGTACTAGTGACGCGCTCTACCAACTGAGCTAAACGGGATGCAGCATAGCTAGCGTTTTTAGTAATAGAAGGTACGCATTTGCCGCAGAGGATGTTCAACGGATTGCACAGCCACCGATGGTTGCAGTTTGCAGCTCGTCACCCCGCATGGGAGTCACGGTGTCTCTCTGCTTCTGCTCTACCAAGTCTCTGTATGCTGGCCTGATCCTAGAGCTAAGGCGCGTTCCTAACAGCCACGACTCCATGAGTGCCTCAAGGACCTGCTCCGCTGCATCTGTAGCCCGGCCCAGCCTGAGGCGCGTCTCGAGAAAGCGCTCGGACCGCGTTCATTGGAGTTGACAGAGTATGACATCACCGCGCCAAGTCTGGGAGACCTGCGATGCAATGCTGTTATGCTCCGTGGAGCAACGTCAGCAACCCACCTCCGAGGCGTAGAGACAACCTTCCATGGGACGCGACGTCATGACAAGCGACTGGAGTATATAAACTCGGGAAGCTTGGGCGCAAGTCAGCCAACTCACGCTTCACGACCACGACCACGACCATAAGCATTGTAACCTCATACCCGCCCGCTTCTCTTACAAACTTCGCGACCTACATCATCTCTACCACATCATGGTATGGCTTGCGCTTGCCATTCAAAATTGACTATTCGCTGACCGAATCATCCATTTAGGGTTCTATCATCTCTGCGATCGGTGCTGCCATCAACTCTATCATCTCGGCCATCGCGAACGTCATCGAGACCATCGTCTCTGCGATTGTAACGGTACGTTGAGCTTCTCCGTTCGCCAGCTGTGTATTGTCTTGATTGACATGGTCCACCTAGATCCTCCTGGCCATCTGGGACTTCATCCTCTGTATCATCTGTTGCCGCTGCTTCAGCGGCGGACGCGGAACTAGAACCGGAGCCGGGTACGGTTCAGGAACGACAACTGGGCGACGCCGCGGATTTGGACGACGGAGAGCGGCCGCGACCTACTAAACAACCAACGCACGCTGTTGTGCCTTCTGCCTCCCTCTCTTCTATACGGTGATGGACACTCTGCTTAGATACCCGTGTACGATCGTTCGTTGAATGTGTATACTACATGTCTTGCTAGTCGATCGAATGCATCGTCTGCTTCTGGCCTGTACAGTTTTTTCGTGGCGGGACAACCTCTAACGGAGCCTAAGTCTTCTCGACTTCTCGACGAAAGCGGGTATGTGTACGCTGCTGCCATGCAAAGCCCGAACGAGTCATGGTGCACGCCGGCGCAGCGGGAAACCGTAATACCAGTTTCGGATACACTGCGGATCCGTCGAGGGGAAAACAGTACGATTCCATGAAAGCTTCACCACGACTTACAGTAGACAGTGGTGGTGTTAAGAGCTCTCAATAGGTCGAGCTCCCCAACCGAGTACGTTTTGCCCCTCTCTCTCACTCTCTCGCACTTTGCATGCAATGAATGGCAGAGGTCAGGCCCCGCTCAATAGCCCCTCGAGTCAAGGACACAGGGCTCTCTCTCATCTTGTATCGCTTCGGCATTGGACTTTTACATGCGCTGATTCGCGGGCGTAAACTAGGTGCGCCGGGCACAGGTACGCTACCGACAGCCGTGTCTGAATTGAGGCTGAACGCTCAGCTCATCCCTTGATCCATCCATAGCACCGTGCTTCATGTGATCGTATGTCCGTTCACGTCCCAAGTTGCCCGCCGCGGGCCTCACGTTCACGCTGTGCGCTATCCAACAGTTATTGATTCGACGGAGAAAGGCACAAAGCATGAGTATAATCTAGCAAAGCGGACGGAACGGCAGAGACGAAAGGAGTGTGTGATGTGTAGGAGAAAATGAAATGAGACGAGCGAGCGTGTGGAGAGCGAACGAGCGCGACGAATCAGAAGGGAGCGTGGTAAGCAGTTCATGCTACAGATTCTATATCTACAATGGGTCAGTTGCACAGATGCTATCGATACAATGGTCGTCAAGTCATGAGATGGCATGCGACGTGGCCGGAAGGCTTCCGGTTCTACTCCTCAGCCATCAGTCTCGTCACCCAACGGGCGACAAGGCCTGCGGCCTCTTTCGTCGTCTCCCACTGGCCATCCCGGATCTTGGGGTGGATGAAGGTGTCGAACTTGTCTGGATGCCAGCGCAGAACCTCGATCTTGAGGATCTCCTTGCGCGTCTTGCCCTCGATGGTGGTGCGGAAGGGGTGGAAGAGAAACTCGCGGACGCGCTCGTAGGTGATGTCCGCCGGGGACGTGCAGCTGTACGTGAAGACGGGGAAGGGGAACTCCGTGAAGTCGACGATATTCTTCAGCTCGCGGTTCGTCTTGAGCTCCGTCCACTTGCGCTCGTAGAGGTCACAGATTTGGCGCATGTGGTGCTCGACCTCGGCTTGAGCGCGTTGGGCCTGCTCCTCGCGCGCGGCCCGCTCCCCTTCCTCCTGGGCAGCGCGTTCCTGCGCCTCGCGCGCAGCCCTCTCCTGCTCCTCCCTGGCGCGACGTGCGGCCTCCTCCGCCTCCCTGGCAGCCCGCTCCTGCTCCTCCCTCATCCGCCGCTCGCGCTCGCGCTGGAGCTCTTCCCAGCGCCGCTTCATCTCCTCCTCCTTTCTCTTCTGCTCTTCCACCTCCCTCAGACGACGGAGGTGCAACTCGCGAATCCGCTCGAGCTCTGCCCGACGCTGAGCCTCCTCGTGCTCCCGCCGGCGCCGCTCCTCAGCCTCAGCTCGCTCGCGTCTGCGCTGCTCCTCGACCTGAGCCCTCTCGCGCCTGCGCTGCTCTTCGGCGGCGGCAAGTTGGCGGCGGCGTTGCTCTTCGGCCTTGGCCTGCTGACGGCGGCGCTCTTCTTCCTCGGCGAGCTTACGACGGCGCGCCTCCTCATCGCGCATCTCCTGCTCCCTGCGACGCTGTTCCTGCTCTTGCTTGAGGGCGGCAGCGCGAAGAGCCTCCCACTGCTCCTTCTTCTTGCGCTCGTCCGCCTCCTTGAGCTCCTGCTGGCGTTTCTTCTCCCTTTGCTCGCTGAGCTCCCGCCTCTTAGCAGCGCCGATCTCCCGAAGCTGGCGGTAGCGGTCGAGCTTCGGAGCCTCGGCAATCCCGCGCTCGATGATGACGGCCTGGTTGTGGTAGCTCTGCCGCATCATCGCGCTGATGCGCAGCTGGGAGAGGCGCTGGAGCATGAGCTGGTCCGCGGCGTCGAGCGGGCCCTTGGACTTGAGCTCGTTGACGAGCGGCTGCACCGCGTCGTCGCAGTCGACGTAGATCTGGTCCCCGACCGGCTGCGGGTACCGGCTCGGCGGCGGGGCGATGTACCGGAAGTTCTTCCACTCCTCGCGCGGCGGGTAGTCGGTCCCCTCCGAGCGTGGGCGGCGCCGGCGGGGGGTCGTGCCGGGCTGAGCAGGGGAGGCGTCCGCGGCGGGCCCGACGTTTTCGTTCTGCACGTGGGCGCGCCGGGCGCCGCGGAGGTCGAAGGGGGTCGGGGGCGGGACGGGGTACGCCTTGCGGGGGTGGAAGTCGGGGAGCTTGGTTTGGCCGTACGGGCGGGCGACTTTGGGGCTGTTGAGAGGGGTGCGGGGGACGTGGTGGACGGGCCGTTTGGGTGAAAACATCGTCAGGCTGTGGACGTTGAGATGTCGTGGGTGGTGGTGCTGTTTAAAGGTATGATGCTAAAGCTACAAGTATCTAGTCTCGCTGGTGCGATGGGGTGGTGGACCGTCCGCCTCGTTAGTCTGCGTGGCCGGGATAAGTGATGACGATTCAGATGCTGGAAGGATCGAAGGATACTTACGCGTCGACTTGCGATTGTCTCACGGGTGGTCAAAGCGCCAGAGGGCAGAACAGTCAAACGAGGTGGTGGAACGGAGGAAACAATAGGTGGGGACCGAGTCCGGGCAAAGCCCATCTTTATAGCCATGGGCCGCCTCGCTTAGTCGCGGCCATCGAAATCCAAAGCGGAGTTCTAGGCCTGACCGTTTCTCCCCTCAAAAATGCACGCACGACGGTAGCGTCGTGTGCCCCTCATTGTCGCCCGATTGGGACGGGGAGGTGATCGCACCCCGAGATAGCCGGTCCGGCGCCTAGCGGCCGTCCCTCCGGGAGCATACCCTCGTTCTGCCCGTTTTGCTGGGCTGCCCGCCTCATATGCCGTCTCTTTCCGCACCGCAAGCAGGGGGTCTCTTGGGATAGCGAGAGGGCTGAAGCTGGAGTCGGAAGAGGAACGAGGGAGCAACCCCGGCTGAAGGAAAGCGGCGGGTGCGATCATTCGACGGGCGCGCGATTGTTAGCGGAACAAACTCCGCGGCTGGTACCCAGGTGCACCCCGAAACTCTTTCCTTTGTCAAGGAAGATAGGCGAACGTGACGCTTCAACTGCGACGCGGGTGCCTGGCGCCCTGTACGCTTGAAATGCAAGCCCGCAGTCAGACTGCCGTTGATGAGCTTTGACTGCAGGAGCGAAGACTCCAGGCAAGGGATTTCACGCACCCAGGGTCCTCTTCTTGCCAAAGCGGGTCTCCACGGCAACCTGGCAGTGTGATTGGCTGGAAGACCTCTTTGGCGGCAAAGGACGAGGGTGAATCGGCGAACGGGGGCGGCCTCGATGTCACGCCAGGGCTTGGAGGACTTTCTTCTGAGCAGAGTGTATCCCGGGGACCAGTACATCCTCTTGGGCTATGCCGTGATGCATGCCCCCGACCGACGGATGGCATGGGCCATAGCGCGGCAGATTTTTGGGCTGGGTGCTCGTCCAGCAGTTGAGTTTACCAAATGCCTGTTGCAAGTGAAGACCGAGTTTATAAGAAAATATGGTTCCGCGTCTTGTTGATATCGAGTGACAATGGGCCCTGGGGTCGCAGCTTCGACACGGGCATGGGCGCGCCACTGTGGCCCATGCGCAATACTTGTTCTTCACGTCAAGGGCGGCAAAGCGGCCACATGTTGGCCCAATAGCTGACGAGGCTTCTATTCAAGTGGAATGTATCGGGGGTATGACAAACAATGTGGCCGGAACCTGTATTTGCGGAACGTCAGATCGCCTCAGCTGCACCGAGCTACAAGGG